TATATATACTCACACACATAAATACAGTCGTAGTTACATTTTAGGAACAATTTTGTGACACTGAACCAACACGTTTTACTGTCACAAAATTATTCTATTCTAAATTATTCAAACAATTGATCCCAACGTCATTTTTCAGAGTCAAAACCTCATTTTTAACACCAGAGCAGTCCAGACTGAAACACGGACATGAATTTGGACACATCCATCCATCCTGGTGGACAGCTGCACGTTTTTAATACAATCTCACTTTTATTTTTAAAATCATGAAAAAGCGCATCTGCAGCCTCAATAAATGCTTCTTTCATGATTTCTCCATCGCTGAAAGACTTCTTATGTTGAGACAGAAAGCGGCTAACACGGTATGAGGCTATTGTAGCAGCCTTACCTTTTGTGCTGGGCCGAGTGAAAATCGATTGCTGGGCTGCTAGCTTCCACTTTAGCTCCCGCACTTTCTGAGTCCGTAATGAACAGCAGGCAGGGAGAGTTCTGGGAAGATGGCGGATTGAGCAGACACGTTTTCCCGAGCTCTGCAAGAGGTCCGGACGTAAATGTTAATTTAAGAGTAAAACCCACTACAAAAAACTTAACCAGCACTCAGATTCGGCTGAGGGCTGAGATGCAGCTGAAATGATCCACGGAAAGTAGTGGAACGTTCTGTGTAGGACACCTCAACCTCAAGTGTTTTTTCCACTCTCTTAAACTATCCTTTTATTGTTCAAGTGTTCTATTTTTCAGTTAAAAACTGAACTTCCTTTTGTTTCTTTTAATACAACGGGGWCTAAAAGACTCATTGAAGAGTAAAGCTGTTTTTTGTTTTGTTTTGCAAAGGACAACAAGCACACTGCACCTTTTTACAGGAAACGCATTCTGACACATCTGACGTGAAGTTGTGGACACAACAATGGGGAGACAAGATTCTTTTCAGCCATGGGACGAATCGTTCAGCTGGAGTTGCTATCTGTTTATACAGATGTCCTGGTAAGATCTTGGCTCAAAAAGCAGATGAGGATGGACACTGGGTAGGCTGTGTTTTGGAACTTGATAATGTTTCCATAATTTTACTAAACATTTATGGATACAACAACGATTATAAAAATAAAAACCTGTTACATCAGATAACAACAATAATCACAGAGTTTAATGCAAATTTTCCAACTAATTATATTATAGTTGGAGGAGATTTTAACTTGGCTCCAGATGAGTGGATGGATCGGTGGCCTTCATCATTATCTAGTGAAAGAAAAAACCCAATTCTTGAAGATTTTGTTAACAATATGAAACTGATAGATGTTTGGAGAACTCTACACAGTGGAGTTAAACAGTTCACCTGGCACAAACCTAATGGTCAAAGCAGATCACACATCGACTACTGGCTAGTATCTGGTGAAATCCAAAATTATGTTGAAGAAACAATGATTGCAAACTGTCCAATAAYTGATCACTGCATCATTAGTCTGAAATTAAAAAAATCAAAATATAATTAACAAAAATAAAGGCATTTGGAAATTTAATGCACAATTGCTAAAAAATTATGAGCTCTGTCAATCCATTAAGAGACTAATTTTGGATGTGAAAAATGACACTAATATTGTAACAGCTCTATCCAAATGGGAATACTTAAAATTTAGCATTAGAAMGTACTCAGTTAAATTTGCAAAAGATTTAAATAGGAAAATGAGAATGGAAGAAACAATAGTGGTCAAAGATCTTATGTCACTTTATAGTAAATTAAACTGGACTGAAGAAGATAAAGACAATATAAAGAAACTGCAGTCTAAACTGGATGACGTACATTAATAAGGCTAAGGAAGGCTACATAAGGTCCAGAGCCAGGTGGATCGAAGAGGGTGAAAAGAACTCTGCCTTCTTTTGTNCTATCACGTTATAACGTGATGCGTATCTTGTTAAAACGTGATAAGTATCTTGTTAAAAC